TGGGGGGGGGGGGGGGGGGGGGTGTACTCATAGTCGTGCATGCCGTAGTCGTTTGACCATTGACCTCGCATCCCTACAAAGCCGGGACGGAGCACGCCGGGTTCTCACCGGACCAGGCTCTCACATCACCAAGCGCGAAGCGCCGTGAGGTATTTGGCGAGTCGCATGAAGGGTGAGCTGCCATCCTGCTAAGGGTGTTCGGCATCTTGTGCTTACTTCCTTGCGTACGGATGACAGCTACGTATGACTTAATTTATTTTCTGGTGCTTTCACTTCCAGAGACAGTTGTAAGCACTGTGTAACTGCCTCGAGGAAGCTTGACCATTTTAACACAACGTGGTGCGATCATCCCCCGTTGCGCGGAGTGAGGTTTCTCCACCCCGCACAACATGATCTACTCGACCACCATTATGGTTACCGCCAAAAAAAAAAAACCGACGTAAAAAAAAAACCGGTAACCTGGTTGCCGAGTTCACGAAGTGAATTGGCTTGTTTTACAACGTCGTTGCCAAGCGACGAAAACCCAATCCCGATGGCAAACACCGAGTGGGGGGCTTGTTTTACAACGTCGCTGCCAAGCGACGAAAACCCAAACCCCGATGGCAAACACCGGGGGGGGCGGATTGGGGGGGGGGGGTATTACTCACTTCTAAGGGATACAACGATCAGGGTGTGTGTGTGCCTTACTATTCATAAGGGCACAACGATACGGGCACAATGAATTACTAGTCATAAGGGCACAATGCAGTACTGTTCATAAGGGGCAATGGCAGGGGAAAAATGGATTACAACTCATAAGGGCACAATGCATTGCTATTCAAAAGGGCACAATGCAATGCATTACTTGTCATAAGGGAAAAACGAGGCGCAACGCATTATTGTTCATAAGGGCACGATGCGTTTAACCCACATTCGGAGGAAGAAAGACCCAAGGTTCTTGCTATGGGCAATGAGAATTTTCCGTCCTCAGTAAACACTCTGAATTATCACCTCCTTTCCATCTTACAGGACAAGACGTGAAGTTGGATACACGCATCGAAATGCTCCATGTGAAAATATCCAAGCATCGGCTGGTACGAGGATTGTCCGGAAAGATTGCAGTCCAATACTTTACCTCGTTTCCGGCGTCCCGTCGCGCCCGCCGCCCCGCCGCCCACGCCGCCCACCGCTGCAGGCTCGATCTCGCGATCTTCGTCAGCACCCGCTCCGCCGCTGCCGCTTTCGCCGCCGCCGCCGCCGCCGCCGCCGTCTCTTCGCGGCGACGGCGATCTCGCGTGGCTCGCGTGGCGGCCAGCCACGTGGCAAAGCCGCGCGACTCAGCGAGGAACCGCCACCGTCCCGCGTCCGCCGTGCGGCGGTGCCGGGTGGAGCGGAGGGCCGTCGCGCCAGCCCGCCACCTAGTCAGGCCGCGGCGCCGGGGGGCGGCGGAGGCGTGGGCCCGGGCGCGAGCCTCGGCGATGCCTTCCCGGGCGAAGTCTTTCCAGTGGGCGACCACTTTCTCGGCGAGGCGCTTGCGTCGGAGCCGCCGCAGGCGTTGCTGAGCGGCAGCATCCTGGGGGGCGTGTCGTGTGGTGGCGGCGGGGAGGTATTTATAGTCTCAGCGACGGAAAGTTGGGTCCTGCTTTACTGCCTCAAATTTGACCTCAACTGGGAGTTATGGAGCTATCATTTCATGCTGGCCTTCAGGTTGATTGTTACGCACGTTTTGAAAGAAGCTGGAAAACTTGCAGTTCCAACATGCACGTCAAAGGTCAAGTCTATTTGTTGGTGAACAAATATGTCGAAGGGATAGACCCTGTGGAAAGTATAGCAGCACAAAGTCGTGTGTTTGTAGCAGTTTTCCGACCGTTGAGGGCGGACGTAAAATGACGGCGCTCGACTCGAGTATCGAGGGAGTGTGGAAGAATGCTGAGGTGTTCGGGACCTTCGTGCAAAAAGGGTTTGCAACAACGATTGTGCGCACATCACTGCTGCACATTCTTCTCCAATCGGACTTCCGAAGCGCAGAAGAGCAAGACGCAAGGTCCCCTTTCGAGAAGAAAGCACAAGCGCTCCCAGAGTTTTTCTGTGAATAACTCTGGCTCGTTCGCTTGACTAACACACCAACGCTTCAACTCCTGGGCGCCCTGAACACGGGTTGGAAACATGACACCGTATTCATCAAATAGCGTTCAACCTACCACTGCTGTACATCGGAGCTGTGCACGCCCGCAATATTCTGTGATCTGCCTGACGGGCTATCTATTCCAAGGGTTTTCTGCTTGCCGTGGGCACTTGTGCCCCTCGTGTCAACAGGACCGTACAGGGTGAACTGCATCCGAGCACACTTCCAAAAAACATGCTTCTGTGCGATAAATATGAAGTACTGCTGTAGAACAGAGCGGGCCTGTACTCCTGGTTTGCACACATCTGCAGGCGGATGTACTGCTGTGCGCTGCGGAGTTTCGACACGCACTCGAAAAGTAATTTGAATTCAAGACTAGAAAAAATGTGTAGAATATCAAGGACAAACGCAGGAAACCATGCGCAAAGAGTGGAGGACTTTGGTAGCCTGCCATCATTGCTCGGCGGGACGGCAGCAGAAGCTACGTGCCCGCCTCTGTTCTTCTGTCTCCGTGTGTTCGCCCTGGCTGCAAGTATGGCAGAGATCTTTACATCTTTTCTCATCACATGCTGTTTGTTGAAAACCGAAGCATCGCATCACCACGACACTACACCTTCGAATCGTTCTTTCATCGGCATGTACATGGCCAGCACCTCTACGCACACTCATGCGGCATGAATAGAGCACGCTGCCCAACTCTAATACCTCTTGGCTTGCTTCCCTCCCTTGCCGTAGACTAACCCGGGGCCAACTGCCAACGCACAGCAAGTTTGAAAAACAGTTCATAAACAGTTCGTATCGTCATCTTACATCAAGCGCAGCTGAAGCCGACTCTCCCTGTTGCTGTCGACGTGCCAACCCAACCCCCTCCACCTGAACAGGTTTTCTAGTGGCCCGCGGCATGCATGGAGTTCCTCACTCGTCTCTACGACAAGAGAGGAAGACGGGCTCATCTTCCTACTGCTGTACTTGCCTGAGAGGGGGACGGCAGATGGGCTTGAAAAGGTTTCTGACGGTGTTTCCACAATCTGGCACGGCATTTTCCTTGCCTGCTCGCATGTAACGCCTGCTGAAACAACCACGAGGACGAAAAGTCAAAGCTTTCAACCACCGCCGCGCCAAGGTTGCCTGCCCTCGTGAACAGCACTCAAGAACCAACACTCGCAGGTGGGTGACGTTTGCACTTAGGTGAAGGATGAGGTGTCGTGAGGGTTAGTTGTCAAAGTGCAAACTTGTGTAAGAGTGGGGTCGGTGGCGAGGAACGACGACCGGCCGAACGGCAAAATATCCGTACAATAGAGGTCTTCGAGGGAGTTGGTACGTAACACGAAAATGGGGTGATCTCTTTGTTCATAGATATCATACAATACAGATATTCAAATAATTCGTAAGTATTCTTCTTTCGTGTTGCAGTATCTTCTATATTGTTGCGGTGCTGTTACCTTACCTACACCGTTGTAGAGCAAACGCAAATGGAAGTTTTCGCCCACCGATGCTTGTAGTCTACAATCTTGGTACATCGGGCGCAGGGAAAACTGCGGGCAGGGTGTCTTATCAACACTCTGTTGTTGTAAAGCCAGAGGAGAAGCCAAGATAAATCGGGACACTTGTATTAAACGAAAGACTGTTCGCGCCCCCCCCAGGGAAATGCACTGGCAATAGATTCCCCCAAACCGTACCACACATAGAAAAGTAGACCCAGTGGCAATGGTTCGGGCTCGGACGCGGCAGTTGTTTGGTCTTTCATGTCTCTGGGCTGACTCAAAATTCAGTCATCTTGACGCGAACAATGGGCGGTCGGTCGGGACTTAACCCCAATACTCTTACAAATGTATGCTTGTATATATTTCTGTTGACGTTGCTGATTCGTCGGCCGCCGCCAACGGCACTCACCTCTGCCTCGTGTCGCTATGCCAACCCACAAAGCTGCCCTTACGTTCTATAGTACGTGCTGAAGCTACTGCATTGCCAAAACGCCCGCTTTCACCGTGGCGTTAATTCACTTGTCAACTCCAGCACGCTTGTACATCTTCAGTTGCAGAGTCGCCGACGATAACCTGTACTGAGGCAATGGACCTCCAGGCCTCTCCTGCGAGTGAACACTTGCCAGATATGTCATGCTTCAATTACTGTGTTTCAAAAATGTCAGATGCAGCATTTCCCCTCTGTAACGACAAATCTGTGCACCGAATGTAGACGAAGCATTTTTCAACTACTCACTACAGTATCCCGTGGTTTTAGAGCCAGTGATCTACACAATAGCACAGAGTAGACAATATATAAGATACTGTATATTCTATATTTCAAGTCGTCATCGAAACATCATAACCAGCAACAGTCTCAAATAAAACCCATGAAACTCATAATACACGGGACACGACATACTCACTCCCAAGGACCTCCCACCGCTGAACTCTTCACTGTCCTACCGATCAAAACCTTGCTGCACAGGAACAATATCTGCACGCTGCTAAGCCCCGCCAGAGAGATAGTGGCAAGCGACACCGCAACGGAGAGTGAAGCGGGCCGTTTATACGCTTTCCTCTGCGAAAGACCTGAGGGGTGCACCACGCCAACTCGCTTGCGTTGAGTGACAGCAGTACAATGGTGGACATTTCTCGGCACGTGGACTTCCTCGGACCTTGTGGAAAGACACTCAGCGTCTCCGAGAGGTCAGGATTGCAGGTGAGACGTTGATGTAGCCGCGGGCTGCGGGTATCCCGAGCGCAAAGCCGCCGTTAGTCTTGTGTGGGGGTCGCGCCAAAACATTCGATCGAAACGTGGTAGAAAAACTAGCAGGTTCTTGAGTCGAATGGCCTGGATTCTTGTGCCTCTAGTTGAGGTCTCACAGAACGGTAATAAAAAATGTGAAGGAATGATCACTTTCAGTCCGAACGCCTGAACCACGAACATTTTAGAGCCGAACGCCCGAGACGCGAGAAATCGCCCCATCGGCCCTCGTGCACTACGTTAGAAGCCCCCCGCACGTTTTAGCTTGATTGGTGCCTTCTGGGTTGACGGTTGGCTGTATCGGTGACCGGCACTCTCAAGTACGAAAAGCGAGCATGCAGCAGGTGCTGCCGACACCACATTGCTCCGATCTCGATGAATTTGTGCCTAAAGGTTACCTATCCCCCACCAAATTGGAGCCCCGTCCAACCTACAGGTTGTTGGACAAGTCCTTCGACGCTGGAATAGCTGTGTGCCTACCAATTTCGCTTGCCAACGAGAGGTTCGGGCCACACCGCTGCAACCTCCCGACGAAGAAGTATGTTCCCCGCAAAACGACGGTTTCAAATTATTTTAACCGCTCGCGCAAAACGTCGCGCAACAAATACGTCCCCAATCCATTGTAGTTTACCCTGATCACGACACGTGTGCCCTGCGATAGACTATTCGCCGCGTTTCGAGGGAAACATTTTTTTTTCTTGTACATACGCGGGCGCATAGAGGGATGGAAGTAGCGATTTGTCCAGGCGTGCTCGTGTGTCTCTCTTCCAGAACAGTCTTGCATTCTGGACACGTGCGAACACATGGTATATACACGCGATCCCTCAGTCCAAGGCATGTGGGGGATATCGAAGAAGCTGTTGTTCTCCATTTTCGTAGCAACCCAATTCGCGTAGTTTTGCACGCAGCACACAAAATCTAATCCTAGTCTGTTTGTTTCCTTTAAATCAGACTGAGTATTAGGCGTTGTCCATCTATACTATCCTTGCCGCTTTCTTCTTGACCTAACTGTCGTCGTAAGGATGCAAACATATTTATCACACTCCCTTTTGTGCAACAGATCATCTCTTCACTGCTCACCTCAATAGAAACGAAAATCTCTTAGAGGACCCGCACGGTTTGCCCGAAGCAAGCTGCGATGCCAATGTCGAATGGCCTGGGTTGTAAAGGTCATCAGGTATCATTGCAAGACATACACCTTCAATCGCATGGCACGGCCCCAACGTATTTGGTCGCTCATATTTCGCGCACCGTTTGGTGACAGTGCGATGGACAGTTTTGAAGCGATTTTGTTCGTGGGATGCTCGTCAAGTGAGCTGCTGTTGCGGTATTTCGGCCTGTCGATGATGTTCCCCACATTGAAGCAGAAACAAATCCAAACCTTCTCGATGTCGACGCGTGCTTACAGAACGTCCTCCGGCATTGCCCCCGATTGAGACGATTGGGGACAGTCCCTCCCAACTGTTATAGTGAATACGAACCTCCTAACCTAGCCACCATACAACCAAACGCCTGCCCCGCGTATGGGGGAGAAGGGGGGGGGGGGAGGGGGTTACTCATAGTCGTGCATGCCATACATTGACCTCGCATACCTACAACGCCGGGACGGAGCACGCCGGGTTCCTCACCGGACCAGGCTCTCACATCACCAAGCTGGAAGCACCGTGAGGTATTCGGCAAGTCGCATGAAGGGTGCGCTGCATCCTGCGAAGGGTCGGCATCTTGTGTTTATTTCCTTGCGTGCGGATGACAGCTGCGTATGACGTAGTCAATTTTCTGGTGCTTTCACTTCCAGAGACAGTTGTAAGCACTGTGTAACTGCCTCGAGGGTGCTTGATGAATTGAACGCAACGTGGTGCGACCATCCGCCTTGCACGGGGTAAGGTTTGTCGACCCCGCACAACATAATCTACCCAACCACCATTATGGGGGGGCGGAGGGATTTCAGCGAGACTGACCTCGGCTCCGACAGAATGATGACGGGGTCAACAAAGAGAGAGTGTGGCACGACGAACAGAGACCCTAACTATTAATATCGCTGTCGGGCAGGTGTCAATGATGCAGCGGAAGCGGGAGGAGCGTCTGGAAGGGAAGATGGTCTTCTGGGGCAAGGTTGAAGGCAACGAAAACGATTACCTCGTTTGCTATGCATTGGCGACACCAACGCTAGAAGAAGGGGACTTCCCCCTCAAGAAGGCGAGAAAACCTTGCTCTGTGCTTGTCGACCACATTCTTGCTGCCGCTGCGACTGCTGCTGCTGCCTGCTGTTGTTGAGCTGCTGTTTTATTATACACCAACCTCTCCGGAATACTATACCTAAACCGAACTCACCAAAATCGTATGCCTGGAACATGTTCCCGTGCGTTCGCAAAAATATAAGCCACCCCCGCCGCCCGCGGTGTTTGCCATCGGGGTTGGGTTTTCACCGCTTGGCAGCGACGTTGTAAAACAAGCCCCCCCCCTCGGTGTTTGCCATCGGGATTGGGTTTTCGTCGCTTGGCAACGACGTTGTAAAACAAGCCAATTCATTTCGTGAACTCGGCAACCAGGTTACCGTTTTGTTTTTTTACCTCTGTTTTTTTTGTTGCGGTAACCATACTGGTGGTCGAGTACATCATGTTGTGCGGGGTCGAGAACCTTTACTCCGCGCAAGGGGGATGATCGCACCACGTTGTGTTAAGATGATCAAGCATCCTCGAGGCAGTTACACAGTGCTTACAACTGTCTCTGGAAGTGAAAGCACCAGAATATTGATTAAGTCATACGCAGCTGTCATCCGTACGCAAGGAAATAAGCACAAAGATGCCGAACACCCTTAGCAGGAGGCAGCGCACCCTTCATGCGACTCGCCGAATATCTCACGGCGCTTCGCGCTTGGTGATGTGAGACCCTGTTCCGGTGAGAACCCGGCGTGCTCCGTCCCGGCTGGGATGCGAGGTCAATGGTCTAATGACTACGGCATACACTACTATGAGTATACCCCCCCGCGCCCACCCGCCGCCACCTGCCTCAGTTTTACTTCTGCGTGAGCAGCGACACGTCCCTGCGCCTGATGCCGGCCGTGAAGCCCGAGTACGAGGTCCTGGCGGCGGCTGTGACGGGGAGGCTAAGAGGGGACCCTTCACTTCCCCTCGACGAGGAGCCGGAGGAGGAGGAGCCCCCCGCCGGGGAAGACGAAGAAGAGGTGTGTTTTCTACGTAGATACAGGTAGCGCCCGCACTTGGCAGTTAAGAACTTCGCACTTAAAACTACATCAAACATCATAACCTGTGTTCCATTTTCCAGCCCGGGTTCTTTCATGTGGACAGTGCCCGAGCTTGAGAACTTGGCAGATAACACCTTTGTGCTTTGCGTTACATTACACAGTAGCGCTCGAGGGCTTGGCGGTAAACGGCCTTCGTTCTTGGCATTACATCAAACAGTAGCGCTTGAGAACTTGGCAGTTAGCGAAGAGTTTCACGCTTGGCATTGCATCAAACACTACAGTATTGCACTCGAGAGCTTGGCAGCAAGAATTCGTGCTCAGCGTTACATGAAACAGTAGCGCTCGAGAAAGTGGTAGTTGAGAACTTTGTGCTTAGCACTACATCAAACCTGAGCACTTTTTGTTAGCCTGGAATAGTCACAAAGCTAACACCTACATGGAGGGCGTTGGTAGCCTACAAGAGGAATCAAGAACCCCAGCCTCGGTCAACACTAGAGGTCCGTAAGCACGGGCGTCATTTTTTTTTTTTATCTCTCTTCGATGCGTTGTTAGAAATACATACGGCATACACGAAATCCGTTGCTCGGTTTCAAGTTCATTCCCTGGGTTGCGGCCAAATGTATGTTCCTCGCGATGGTCACGTTTGTAGCGTCCACCGCTATGAATGGCGAGAACTTTAGGGGGCGAAACAGGCAGTAGGTTGTGTGGCTGCCGCTTTACCACAACCTACCACAACCGTGACAGATATCGTCCTTCTCGAAATTCGGCCAAACGGAAACGAAACGAAACGAGGGCAAGTATCTAAGTAGCCTCTTATCCCCCCCCCCTGCGTCCTATGGTCCGTCCTCTCGAGGACGTGTGGTCAATGGCCGAACCGCTAAGGCATGCAATACGCGAGTAGCCCCCTCAGCATCCTTTCCTCCTTATGCATGTTTCGTCGATATGCCTACCATGATACCGCGTGATCCGCCAAGGAGCCCCGCCCCCCGGAGCGATTCTTGGAGATGCACCGCCTCGCTCACATCGTGAAAACCATCGACCGGGCTGTGGCCGTGGTGCCCAAGGGGGCCCTCCTTGTTGAGGTATGATACACGAACCCACGCATCAGAAACTCGAATGTTTCGACACGTGAGTCTTTCTTGGGTTCCCCATGGAGCACTGAAAGAGTGAGCGGGAAAAGAGAAGTTATCTAGTACCCGCAATGGCTGTCGGCGCCCGCACGAGAGTGAAAACCGTGGTGCTGTTTCTATCACATCCTCGCGGGAGATGCTGAAACACCGCAAAAAGGACTCCATCTGCGCCCTGAGGCCATCATTTTCGTGCCTGTGTTCGGACATTCTTGATTCATTCAGGCGTCCCGCAAGATCCGGCCTTACCGCAACTTCGAGGGCCTGTCCGTAGAGGCGGCAAAAGATCTGAGAAGCTACTTCCACTTCAGGAACCCCGAGAGCATCGAGGTGGGTGCGGAAAATACAAATATACAATTCTACTGCGTGGAGCTCTCCCGGCCCTGCTTTCCCCACCCGAATTCCTCTTCCCAACCGAATCGGAAATCGGGATCCACCTCTTCTCTGTTAAACTCGCCCCTTCCCTTCTGTCTCGTGGCGTGACTGCGAATGGCCCCGTACCTCCCTTCCATCCTCCTCTTCCCAACAGGCCATCGCGGCGCTCACGAAGAAGGGTTTGGTGAGAGATGCAGACTTCCTCGACCCCATCGCCGCCGACAAACCGCCGGGGTGCTGGACGCTTTCCATGAACCCCTCGGCGTCGTGCTCAGTACTGCGCAGTCTAGCGTGGCCAGGGTACTTTTTCTTTCACGAGGTGCGCGCCCAATACACCCACGCGTAGGCAGTATGTAGTCTGCCTAACTTGGGCAAAGACACTAGAAAGTAGAACCATTCCATTGGAAACCACAAACGTTACTGTCGACAGACTTGCTGCAATACAACGAAGACGCCAGGCGCACCACGCACTTCAACTTCGGAGCAGAGCCAACATCAATCTATGTAGAAGTGATAAGGAGCTTAGATTTTGCACCCTCTCCGACGAGGGAAGTCGGCATTCATTCATTCTTCGCCCGCAAGATTCATTCTGTTGGGGCAGGAGGTCATTCGAGTGCGGAACAAGAAGATACGAACGAACCCTCTCAGTATGTCGTATGACATGCAGGGAAGATATCGCTGTTGACCAGGGAGCATAAAACCCCCGTACTCGATATCTTGTCATCTGCTTCCTCCACCGACGAGCGCAGGCGGAAACGGGGGACTACGGCGGGGCATACTTCGGGGACGGGTTGCCGAACACAGATCTGCAGTTTATGCTGTGATCGATTGGTCAGGTTTTTGTCCATGTACGAGAGGGAGAAGAATGTGCGCGACGCGAATATGAAGGACCGCCCGTGTCCTGTTGGCAATGCTGCTACGAAGAACCATCTTCGACAGTTGACCGTATTGACCCGAGAGTGAATGCACGGCGAAGATCTGTGAAAGCATGCTCGTGGTATTGAAAAATATCGTGAATGCGATGGCTCATAGTTCGGTTCCCTTCGGTACATACCCAAAGGTCATGCGGTGTCCATGATGTGGGTGAATTTTACCCTGGCACCACGTGGAAGGGAGGCCTCGAATTGGATCGCTGAAGGCACGCACGTGTTCGTCCCGACGGAATCAGACAGACCTTTTGTACATGGCAGTGAATATATCCATGCGATTTCGTTGTGACGGTGGAGGACGTCTTCCTCCTTCAGTAGCTTATTCTGCCGAAATGCTCCTTCCACCACCATCAAGCCTACATACGGTACATGAAGATATTCGTTATTTAGTTTTAAATGTTTGACATGGCTTTTTAATCGTCAGCCTGCTCTCTTTCATGTTCTTCTTCAACACCGCACCAAGGGTTTTCGTTGTTACAATTTGTGTGACACAGCAGGGTGTGGCAGGGTGGGGTACGCGGGGAACGGGTTCTCTCAGAAACGAAATGCCGCGAGCATGCGTGGTCTCAGCGTCCCCGTCGATGTAGGAAATCGATGGTCTCCTGAAAGAGAGACAAGAAACTAACTTGCCGTAGTCTACAACCTACCACACATAATTCCTTGAGCTGCCAGGGGTAAGAGGCCACGCGATGAGGTGTGAAACACGCTTTTCCTCTCGGCCCCTCTCGGCCCACAGCGGCAGAAAGGGGGAAGGTCTCAAGTAGGCATCAGCCTACACCTTTCGGTACATGTGTAGCGCATACCAGCCGTGGTAACACAGGAGGAGAAGGAGGACACTGGAGCTTACTTGCTGGTGGACGGGGTTGGTGATCTATCGTCCTTGACGCGAGAAAGGTTCAGACTTGACGCAGGTACAATTTGTGCGGTAAAGCCCACGCAGCACACTGGAGACGCATCATACTTTAGTTGAACATCACGTTGCTGGATGCAGTTAGCGCACTGGTGGCATCACGAATTAATGTGTGACGCGCGACGATGACACAGCTCTTCGGCCAAACCGGGCGGCCACATAAGTAATAACCGTTCTTTTCCGTCGGGTGCGATCGGGATGACACCTACTTTTCCCGTCAATCGTGAACAGGTAAACGCAAGCACAGCCGATGCCACGTCGACAGCAGGTTGCTTCTTGAGGATGTTTCGTTGCTATTGGTCACCGGCCCTATTTAGTCACAGCGCGGTATCCGCGTACCGTAAGGGGGTTTCCTTCTCAACGAGGTACGCTCCTACCTGGTACGCCGTAAGAGAGGGGTGTTTCTGGGCATTCACACTCTTCCACGTATGATTTAACGTTGATCGAAGACACACCAAGCAACATTTCACTCGGTAACATGCATGCAACCGACTCCAAACTCCTTCTCATTTCACTCCATCAACGAATACAACACCACCAAAGCGGGTCTCGTCAAGGTCGAAACAGAAGATTACGCATGAGTTCTCCTTGCTGAAGCCCGGAAGGGCCCACGTACTCACGCGCAGGTTACAGCAAAATCCTGCGCACGCTCAACTATGAATCCTCTTGAGCGCAACATCCGAGTCCCCCGCAAAAGAAAAGGCAAATGCATCTCGGTTCGACACGGCAAACATTCAATGGCATTGCACGACGATATTGTACACACGGACACCCATCGAAATCGCAATAAATCCTGGTGGACACAGGGAGTGTTTAACCAACAGCGGGCCAAAACGTGTGGACAGATCATGGAAAATATTACTAGTAAGTAAGTAACTAACCACACACATATAGTACGGTAAAACCAAAAGGACAGCTCTCACTTCTCACGGCAAGCACGAGAGGGCAAAATCGCAGCAGCAGATCCGACCAAGCTGTTTGCTCGACCCCCCGCCCCACCAAGACCTGTTTTCTGAAACTCAAGTGTGTGAAACGTGCGTTGCGTGCAACACCTTCAACAAGGCCAAGCCGGACAAGAAGAAGGGGTGCCAACCTACGTGCATGGAACGGCGCGCACTGTGGTAGAGGAGCGCGTGTAAAAAGACACCCCCGTTTCTTTCAAACCGGAGCATGCTTGTGGAAGACTCGAGCTTCGCCACAGCAACGTGACAGGAACCACTCTTCCTACCTATTATAGGGCTTCCCATTCTTGAACCTCGTCGCACTGCTGCCGTGTTTGGAGGTGCCCTATCGCTTTTCCTCTCGCCAATTGATGCACTGGGCAACGACACCTTCCTGCTATGTCCCATCCAACAATGGAGACACCCTCTGTGCACATGTAATATTGAACTCCCCGATCTAGGTTGGACCACTGCCCAGAACAAAGACAATACATTATACTCCCCCCCCCACGAATAAATTTACCCCCCGACCCCCGACCTTTCATAGTCCATTCCACCGCCCAAGATTGACAACACAGAAATGTAGGAGCCGGGGGCTTTTTTCGGATGTACCGAATCCCTCCCGACAACCAAAAACCACCGAGACGAAGCATCTGTCGTGAACATGGCTGATGCCGTTGCCGTAAACCTTCCCTCGGCCCTAGGATAAAGCAAAGGTCGACGACACCCCCTTGACCGCAAGAGCTAAAGGAGACGTGTAAACAGGACGACGACGACGCCGGCGGCGCACGGGCTGGTAGAAAACGACATTCATTCGCGGGAACCGAGAGAAAGACTCGCATAATCCGCCACTCGCTGCTTGAACGATCTAGGCTAGAGAGGGCAGTTGGATTTTCACACAGACATTCGCATGGGCACAACCTGTACCCGCAAGAAGTTGTTTGGATGCGCCGGCCCCTCTTAGCGAAAGCAGTTGAGACATTGAGTATCTACAAGAAATCGTCCTTTTACTACGTAGGCCGCAGACAAGACTTGATCGAAAATCAAGCGTTCAACCGGAACGTATCGCACCGTCTGCCTCAGGGCGGGAACCCCCCCCCCCCCCCCCCCATGCCTA